TGCGAAAGGAGGTATAAATTTAAAAGCAGGCTTCTGCTCTCGCACCATGTTCTCCTAATAGAAGTATTTGTTGCACGGGGATGGCAAAAACGCATTTCTCTGCTGATACCATTTTTTTTAAGCAAAATCGTCAGAATCACCGGGACGAAAAGAAGTCCCATTTTTTTACTAACAGCTTTTCGCGTACAATGTCCTCTTGACAAGAAGCTCCAGTTTAAAATATTTTTCATTGGGATGACATAGGCAAAAGGATGCACAAAATTTAAAATTCTCATGTGCCGTGCTCTCCAAAAACAAGTTTTGGAAATTGTTGTAGAAGGATGACAAATACTCAGGGACGTGTCATATTTCTGTCAAAATCACAGCTCTCAAAAGGAATACTATCAGGGCCACAAGAACCAAAGGAAGTGCAGGTTCATTAATCGATAGCTTTTCACTTGGAATGTTTTCCGGACACAAAACCCCTTGTATAGGGGGTCTCATAAGCTAAAGAAGGTACAAAATCTCCACGTATAATGATTCTTTGATACAAATTCATCCTTTAAAACATAAAGCGTGCGACAGTTATTGTTATACACTTTTTAACGTTCCTGGTACAGGTTTTTGTTAAAGCATGTGGCATATCAGGATCCTAGAAAAAACAGTGGTTTGAAATTGATTGACTAGCACGTCGTCACCTGTTCGCGCCCTCTGCAATTTGAATCACAGGAATGAAAGAATGCACAAAAGAAACTTGTATCAGGATCATTGAAACGGAATGAGGTGTAAACTTTATTGAATGGCACCTTCTGACTTATGATGTCCCCTAATGCAAATTTATGTGTAATAAAGATCACAGAAACGTAAGATAGTTCAAAATTAATTGACTTTCACGTTCCCCTCTTCATAATGCATTGTTCATTTATTTTCATGTTAAACAAATTTGTCTTTAAAAATATCAGGATAACAGAACGTATCAGCGTTCAATGAAAAATTTGAGGTTCCTAAAGCTCGGGATTCACGATCCAAGTGAGGCTTTTACTTGGGCTTGCTTATACAAAACCGTGAAGAATTGACTCTCTCTCTCTCTCTCTCTCTTTCTCTCTCTCATTAATGATGTTCGCCTGATAACAAATTCTTTTTTCAAAAACGTGTCGGAATCAGAGACTTTAGTGAGGCAAAACACAAAGAGGAGCAACACGGTCTAACGTATTATGATACAAACCCGAGGTGCGAATATTTGAAGGTTTAACACGAGCAGTCTTGAGTTCTTCCATCAAAATAATCTCACGAACATGCCAAAAATTTAGTTTCTTGATTGATGCAACAAATTACACGAAAGCGGCGAGTAATCAAACGTAGGTAAGTAGTAATATATTCATTAAACTTGTCGCCTACCTCAAAAGTTAGTCGTAAAATAGCGCTTTCTCATTTACATCCGTAAGGGATTTATATTTCCATTAACCTTAGCATATTCGTATATAGTTACCCGATACAAGAGTGTTTACATATTCATAAATTAGAAGTTTATATAGAAAACGGATGCATTTCGAGTAGGTACGTACTTCCTAGTTTACAAATTTATTTAAGCTCCGAGCTTATGATGTTTCTGCATCCAATTTCAAAACATCAGACGTAAAGCAAATGATGCCGGTTTTGAGGTGCATACGTGCATGTACCGATGTATAGGACGAGTACGTATCTTTCCACCCCAATCACTTTCTAGTGAGCGATTTCACACCAAAAAGGCAATGTCTGCAGCAGATTTCACTTTTGATAAAATATTCAAAGCATCTCTAAGTGATAATCCAATGGTCAGCAGCCTTAGTGGTAATCACTTTAGGAAGAAAATAGTTTATAGTAGTTATAGTAGTTGGTAGGTTTAGGTTTCGGTGTAATGAACTAAACTACCAAAAATGGTAGCCTAGGCCCCTAGAACCCTGATGTGAATCAAGCTTATCTAAAAAGACTGCAATGTATACTCAATCTAAAAGTTTCCAAAATTGTACAAACTCAATTAAATTGCTATAGCCGCTTCTAAACGCAAATAAAAGCAAAGGTGGCGAAACACAATTTTCCAACTTTGCGATGTATCCAAGAAAATTAACTGTTTGATATTAGTTTTCATAGACTAAGGGAGACTGAGATGATAACTTGTAAATTAGCACATAGTTTCCTCAAATATGAAGAAATTTGCATAGCTTCGCCGTCGTGCATAACGCAAGGTATGAAGTTTTACTGCAATGGCTTCTCCGCTGATCGGCTTCCAGTAAAAGTTCCACTAATAAAACGGCATTTTTAGAGCTTCTTTCATAAACGCAATCAGATATTGCGATCAAATCGGAAGCAATTCAATATACTTCTTCCCATTTCTATTGTCAGCGTCTCACGGAACCCCCTCAGTGTCCGACACGATGGGGAGAGTAATTCGATTGTGTTAAAAAGTTACAAATGTCCCGTTTACTTTGTGCTCTAATGGCAAGAAAAATATTGAGGGACCCTGCCATTTAAGTGGATCAGTTGAACTTTTCAAGTGCGATTGTAACCAATTATGTTGTGTTCTCCGATAAAAGTGAAGTACGCTTACTCGTTCGCCCTTTTCCAAGTCCCAGAAAAAATTCGCCACGTTTCAGTCTGTAAATTTTGAATATTCAACCCCTATTTTGACGATATCATTTGCAGAAATGAGAAAGCTGTCATGCAAAACAGGCCCGCAACCAGGGTGAAGTAGCAGGAGTGGTAGGTATTTTTCTATGTTTAATAAGATCACGAGCGGCTATATGAAACTCCGATCATAGCTCAAAATTGATTAGAAAATGGCTGATGCTATTCCTTAATATTTTAAATAATTCATGTACCTACTTACCGCAGTTTTTTCATAATGGCAGCAATCCAATTCCAGAAAAAAATCCAAAGAATATATTGTAGCGAAAATTCTAGAAATCCAAGGAGACATCGGGGCGCCATCAAGTCGATAAAAGATTAGTCACTGGTGATAAGAAACGAAGGCTGATGAGACGCATTCTATCTATGAAATGTGATATTCTATAAACTATATAAGTAAATTGAATCGTGTTTAATAGAAGTTCCAACATCGACGTTGAAAAGATAAATAGTTCACATGCTATAAATTGGAGTACAAGTGAGTGATAAGTAATAATTAACTGTTATAAATCAATCGATAGTACTATAAATCGAACTGTAGTAGATCTTATATGGTAAAACTAATAGACAACCACATATGAGGGCACAGGAACATCGTCTGTCTATCCAACAACATAATCCTTTATCTTCTTTTGCAAAACATTATTTGGATGCGGTCATCATCTCGACACCAATAAGATAAAGCTGTTTTTTGCTAACGACTGGACCATTTATTTGATTCTACTAAGCTCCTTGGTTGTGAAAACACCTTTAGAATAATTGCGGTCGACCACTGAGGCACAGATAAGCCAATATGGGTAGGGCGATTTCAATTTTTTTGCAGTGAAACTTGCATTATTAGCAACAAAGGTAAGTAGTTAAATCACATTAAATTTTATGGCACTCAGGGGTATAATGTGAGCCCTTTAAGTGTGGTTTGTCCACCACTTCCGGTGCTGCTAAGCCGCCACGTCACTTTCGGTTTATATGACTGGACTATCTAGCCTCTGGACATGCGCAAACCGGTATTATAGTTAACTGCTAATTAGGAATAAAATGGGGGTGATCAACTCCGGGAGTAATTAAACACTGACTCCACTTCCACACCCGATACCCACACAAAATCCATTATCTGCCTTGTTGCCGACCTCTTAGTCGCTGATCTGATGCATTCGATTTTATATCTTGGGGTGGGGGATCAGGTAGTTAGTTGGGTTTTGTTGTAAATTATAACTCGACCCTAAAAAAATCTTTAAAACTGTGCAACACTTATGTCTCTTTCTTCGCATGGACTAGAGAGAGATGAAAATATAATAGCACCATTTGTGTACAACTCACAAGCAACCAGTTTTGCTGTAGGCGGCTACCTGCGATGATTGACGTGACTATTTTTCTACTAGAAGGAAAAAGAATAGTGATATTGAATAAGTCATACTTATTCAATGGCGAGCATTGATGTTATCCAGGTTCTCTCGCGATAAACCAGGGCCCACTAGAAAAAAACTAACTTTTTTTTCCAGATGTAGAAGTAAAAGGGCTACGCCCTATAGTATCTCGATACCAATGAGTTCCTCGTTCAACCAAGAAGACGCTGGAGATGGGAAAGCCATATACTACCCTTCTACAAACGGGTAAGACTGTGTCCATCACTAGCTCAACTAAGGAAAGATTGTGCGCCAAGTACGTACGCACCGCTTTTTAATCAATTTTGTCATTCACACTAACAGCTCACTTTTTTGGTTTCACGGCAAAAACCGACATTCGATGGATGCGCATGAAGAGCAACACAAAGTGCAACAAAGAACGCCCATCTACATTAGTTGCAGATATAGTGTACGAGGCATTAGGTTTCTTTGGCAATAAACACAATACCGCACAGTAACAGCTGCACGGACCGGTTATAGAATATATGAGGTGCCCCGCTGTGGAAGTTTTCAACTTTCTTTCTTCCTTCTTTGGAAGAGTTGTAAAAATACTGATCCTCAAAGCGAAGGTGGCTTAAAGGAAATTGTTCCTTGCTTTTAACTTCATTTCTGTTTTCCGAATCCGCTTAATGAACGGTTCAACTTGGCGAATGTACCTTTGCGACAACGACCGGTTCAGATTGACTCTGTGTAACGCCGATTAACAAATGCCCTCTCCCACTATTTACACTCATACTTATAGATTCCTCTATTGTATCATCTCTTGGTCTCATAATCTTACAACGACGAATGATGCGTACTTAGCGCTATTATAAGCTTTTTGTCGTATTTTTGACGTATTTAACTCGGCTCTTCTTGTTCTTATTTTAATTACAACGACCCGATTCATTTAGCTCATCCCGAATATACACACGTAATTACACGTAAAGAAAATATCAAAAACAATTTATTCGATGTAACAACATTACCATTATGTTGAAGTGGTCCAAGTACAACTTTGCCTAAACCTGTACGTGTACAGTTTCCTCTCCCTTACTTCATTAACAACGACGGATTTTGTATCAATAGCTGGTTACAGCCTTCTAACTTCTTCAGATCTTTAAGAGCCTGCAGGTAGAGCTTTCCCTCGAACAGAACCTCAGGTTCGTGTTGGAGGCAACGCACCGCCTGCCTCAAAATCGTCGTGCACTCCTGCAAAAAGCGAATAAATCGGTTTCACCAACAAAAAGCTTACCGTTAACATGGACACCGGATCCTTATTCGCCTTGTGCAGTTTTCTACGTTGCAATTCAGTGGTGCACGTGTAAATCTCCACCAGCATGATTCCTATAACGCGTTTCTCGGCTAAAAGTCGCGGTTAGTCTCGCTTAACGATATGTTTGGGGTTAACCTGGTGCTATTATGTTTACGATATTGATAACGTCCTGGCAGAGTTGTTTTTTGAGCAGAAGATCGTCGACACTAACAGTTTTCAGGCTGTAATCTCCATTTCCAATCAGCTGCCCAAGAGCCAACTTGATGTCGATCATGTAAGCATGATTGGGGGTCAAAAGTGTGCTGTAGTGATCTAAAAATTGCTTGCAGTCTTCAACACTTCCTTTATCCATCAGCACCAAGTCATCTCCGATACGTTTCATTGCGTTCATTACAAATTCGGCAGTCTGTTTACTTCCACACTGTTTACAACACCACTCCGCGTTTTCGTTCTCGAAGCTTCCTGGTAGCACGATCCCTTTGCACTGCCTTAAAAACGATTCAGAGTGTTGCACCGTGCAAGATAGTAGCAATTAATACCCGCTCTGGCAGTTCAACGCGCTCACGTTTGTACCAAACTCGGTAACGTCGAGGCATCGCTCGCATCTGCACGAGAAAAACTTCGTTCGCTGCAAGTGCTTCTGGCGAAAAAGGGTCGTTTGGAGCGGTTCCGTGTAGCAGATGCTGATGTGCTCTCCCTTGTCAATTTTCCTTCCCGCAATCACCCGTACCTGGCCGGCCATTGAGAAGGTCTTGTACGCGTTCGATCTGCAGCTGTGCTCAAATATCGACGTTACATTGAAGAGCCCAACCTGCGAGGGGGTACTCAAGGGAATTTCGTGGGCATTTACCTACAAATGTAAGTGAGTGAGAAATATCGGTATTTTTGAGGTTTCCCAGTCTACACTGAACTGGGAGTTAATGTTAGTAAGTCATTTCCAAAGGGGAAAATGGCCTCCTGGGCAGTTGCGTGCGTGACCTTTACCGTTTGTAGACCCTGAAACCGCCGCAGTTAAAAAGAAGTCAAAGGAGTTCACTAATTGTCTCCTTTCTGTAACATGCGGGAATTCACAAAGCACCAATTATACATTTTGGTAAAGCATATACGTGTCTCAGTTTTTGGCTGCAGAATGGCAGATAGTCTGTAGCCTTTTTACACGTCTAAAGTGCAACACGTAAGTACAAACATCCAGAACGATACAAGGTTTTTAAAATCGTGACGAATCAAAAGACTTTTATGTCTTTCTTAAAACCCATCTTTTTGAGTCTACGCAATAAAAGGTGGATATTGGATAACATTTTATACTTTTGTGTATCTATGAACTCATTTATTAGCAACCAATCCGCATTCTTGTTAACGCGAAGTCAGTAATGTTTCAATCTTAATTAAACCTTTGGTATACCCACTAATACGGCTTTAATGACTCCTAGAAATAGTCTATGGTGAAAATACGGCGAGATGAACTTCATCCATCTCATGATTATGTTAAGATTGTTCTGAAAAAGTTCAATAATTCTAAGGTCTTTAGTTAGAGCAAATATAGTAAACCATACATGCAGTGGTTTGTTACAGAAGCAGAAAAGAAGTTGCCACCTACAAAATCCAGTAAAGTCAATTGCAAAATCGCCCTCATTAATCAAACTGCAAATTCATGAAAAAAGCATCACTTTCAAAACTAGTGGTACAAATAACTATGAAATAACTTTTTTGCATAGTTTATCAAATTACCGAACCTTTTTGTCAAAAAATCGTATGGAAAGTGGTATTTTTTTCACGATTTTTACTATGCGCTTCCATGGCGTTTAGTCCTGTCTATGAACAATAGCTCAACGTTTGAGTGACAGTAACTCGCGAATGTCAATGATATTATTGAATTATGGGTATGACTTTCAAAACTAGTTGTACAAATAGTCATAGAAACTACAATCAAAATTATCGTATATAATAATGAAGTTTGACACATAGCAATCTAGATACGGATATGTTTCAATTTTAAATGTCATTATTAAGATTAACGCAGCAATTGTTTTTTACTTTCCTCACTAGAGAGGAAAATCACATTTTTTTCACCCTTTTTAGAAACGAAAGTAGTTGTTTCTACACAGAGCTGGGCAGAATACTTTCAAAAAGTATTTGAATACTAAATAGTAAATACTTTAGACAAATCAAAAGTATTTGAAAACTTTCAAAGGTAAACGAATACTATAAAAAGTATTCAAATACTTGTCACTCAAATACATAAAAAATTTAAAATAGTACTAGCTAAAAGTCTTAATATTACTTAAAAAAGGTCAAGTTATATTTTGTATGGGGGCTACATGGAAGAACAGCGTTTTGTGCGCTGAATGTAGTCCCTTTCCCTGAAGTTAGCTTTTTTTTTATATTTCTATTGTTATATACAAATTTTAGGGGAGTAACCGCGTATTATTATTATTATATTATATAGGATAGGAGGTACGAGGACCTTTCTTATATCAGGTATAACCTTAAGAATACGTGTAGCAGTTTTCAAAGCGATCGTACGTCGTGCACATGACACCTGACATGACATGTACACCTTTCTGAAATTATTTTTTTTTATTTTGCCTTTATTTTTGAGTGGACGGGGTTTCAGCCAAGGCTGCTCTACCAACCCAACCCACTATACATTTACAAATATTCATGCCCGAACCCGGATTCGAACCAGGAACCCTTAGTACCGCAGTCCAGCTTTAACTGAACTACGCCACACGGGCCACCAAATTAATCCTAGCGATTTTGAAACAGATCCTTTTTCCGTCCGTCTGTCCGTGTGCATGATAACTTGTTTAGAAACGTGCGATCGCTTTGAAAATTGGTACACGCATGGTCTTAAGGATATAAGAAAAGAACCTATTGTTTTAAGTTAAGTAGCCTATCGGGTCAAAAAAGTTTCACTCCAGGATCGTTCGGTATTCAGTTGTATGGGATTTTTATATTTGATTTTGTGATAATGGAAACTTCCCCTAAACATTTCTAAATAGTTCTCAAATATTTGAATAACTTAAAAGTATTCAAATACTATGCGAAGTATTCGAATACTTTACGAAGTATTCAAATACTTTGCGAAGTATTCGAATACTTCTCAAAGTATTTAAATACCTGGCGAAGTATTCGAATACTTTACGAAGTATTTAATTACTTTGCGAAGTATTCGAATACTAAATATTTGCGAAAGTATTTGAGTTACAAATACAAATACTGCTTCCATAAAAGTATTTAATTACAAAGTCTTTGAATACTAAAAAGTATTTACAAAATCGAATACTGCCCAGCTCTGTTTCTACAGTAGTTTCAGAAAAATATCGATTCCCACACTATTTACACGCAGCAACTAGTCAGAAAACTACAGAAATTTGTAAGTCCAGACAGTAAAGTAGGCCACTAAACTAGCCAGGTACTCAACTGGTTCAGCAAGTTTACTGGCAGAAAGTAATGTCCGCCAGTAAACTTGCTAAATGTAAATGAGACTTAAATGCGTTATATTAAATTACATTAGTGAACTGATCATAAAAGAACATCGTACCGTGGACATCTGGACAATGCTTAACGTGCATTTCTTTAAATATATGACTACCTTTAAAACCATCTTGTATTGGTAGTAAAAAAGACACCAACCAAGGAAAAATTGGACATATCCATTTTGAAAGATAATTCGTAAAGTGTTGGGTGGCGTCTGTCAGGTATACACTGACTAAATAAGCGATAATAGTTATTTATTATACAAGACGATAAAGGGATATTTTAACCATTGAGTAAAAGATGTTAATTCACGAGTGGCGCACCTTTCACGAGATGGTTACTTTCCATTTATCGTCGTGTATAATACAAAACTTTATTTTATAGCAGAAGCCATTTAAATCATTGTAAAGCTTCTGACAATTCTGAATTTAATTTAGAGGCGTCGAAAACAGAATTTTATATCGTGCATTTAAAATAAGAATGACAGAAGTCATTAGAATGCACAGTCATTTGTTTCACTTTATCTACCCTACGGTTAAAGTGATCACTTTATCTATCCTTACGGTTAAAAAACGGCTTAGCCTACTCATTCAAACTTATTAAAATGTCAATTTAACATATGGTATAAAAGAAAAGAAAAAAAACTGTGCCATTTTAAACGTAATTGCTACTAATCCAGTGGTAATGGTAATGGTAAGCTGTTCTAATACAAATTAATTGTGCTCGCTGATGTTTTGGTTTTATATAAATAATTGAAACATGTTTGGGCATATTTCAAACATTTAAAAACTGATGATAAGCAGTTTGAAAAGTTCTTATAAGTTTTATCGAGTGGACTTCAAAGCCAACCAGCCCAGATTGTACCGTTTGAAAACTATGATGCGAATAACGAAAAATTTTCTTCTCATTTGAAGCGTTTTGACAATTGTTGTGGTCTTAAAAATATTAGTGATGATACAAAGAAGGCGCAGGTGTTATGCTCATCCATAGGAGGAGGTCCTTGTCGCTCTTTTGGGTCCAGATACGCTAAAAAATCAGTTGAATTCAAGTTTTAGTGGATCATTTTACGAATATGCTGTCTCCTCTACCGTCGCTCAGCTTTTGTTCCACGGAGCCTAACCCCGCACGGCTTCGTTGTCTTCTAGTAGAGGAGAGAGGTTCATTTGCATGGCGGTTCGGCACAGAAAGCTGGGTCAGTACTCTTAAACGCCACATCAATCAATTGATAGCCACCCTGGTTCCAAAGAAGCAAGTAGTTTTTGAACCCTCATCGTCCGCTTAACAAACGAGAAGAGGAGTTACTTTTGCAACCGATTCTACCCAAACTTCTTTATATCCAGGTGGTCCACAGGAGTTCAACAAGTACTTCCGTCGAGTCAACCAGGTCAGAGTGTTCCTCTTGAGTCCAGCAGACCTACCAAGCGTTGTCAAAAGCAAATGTCTCTGGAAGAGTACGCCCTCCGCCATTAAAAAAGAAAGTGGGGTAAAGTGTAGTGACTAGTGAATAACTATTTTGATAATCCTCGAGAAATATAGACCATAGGAGCTATCAATTAGCGACAACCCTCAGAATCTAGGTGGCCCATGGGCCGAGATCTCGATGGAATAGACAGAAAATCGAGCACATAAGCGTTATCCACAACAATTCGCCATTGTGGTTGTGAAAAAATTATTAATAGTAAATTAAATTAAATAGGAAATTGTCGTAAAAGGACATATTATTTTAAACCAAAGAAGAAATCCGGGTTCGCGTTCAGTTATGTTAAAAACTTAACCCGAAGTACGTATCCTGTAAAAAAATAAACGCAAGCATTGCTTCGTTATCGTGTCAGTTAACGTGAAAAATTTCCGGGCTGACGGGCGAAAAATAAACGCGTCATAATCGGGAAGGAACAATTTCAAATTACTAAGAAATTGAGTTATAATATATAACTTTCCCTTTTTTGTAAATAAAAGTCAAATTTTTCACTATATTCACTAAGTCCTGGTCAGTAACAACACGATAACAACCCCCAACGTTTCGTTATCCCCAAAATTTCCCCAGAGTGTCCAATTTCAAGGCGAATTTAAGGCAGTAGGTGGCCACCTTCGATCCAGACGACATCTGATGAACCATAAGCAGTAAATTACAAAACATTGCAGCTAGAAAATATTCCCAACGATCCCTAATGGCATTTGCAAATTGAATCTGAAGGGTTTCTCGAAATTTTTATTATACCTCATAGCACAAAACACGATTTTAGAAATACAAAAACTGAGGGACTGTCTCGAATTATACTCAGAACGTTTACACATTTTTCCAATTACCCTATTCGAATCGATGTATCTCTTGAAGTTTTTATTACGCAATTCTTAACATAAATCTCAATTAGAGACCTGTCAGCAAGTGACTTTTGGGCCTCTTTACGTTGTCGTTTTACAGTCGAACTGGGTCAAAGTGGAGTTTCGTGGCCCCTTTTTCCATATAATAAGCTGCGTGAACGTGGGGGCTAATTTTTTCAAAGTTGACTTAACTGTCAGAACTATTTCTAAGATTTATCGCCGACTTTATGTGGGGAGTCCAAAGCTTTAATTGTAAAAATTTGCAAAATTTTGTAAAAGCACCAATTATTTGTTTGTGTTTAACTTGTTTAGATTTTGCTAATGTACTTCTTAAAAATACGCATGCCTTATAGTTTTTTTGCACAACGACCTACTCTTGCATAGTTAGGCATTTGAGATATGCCGAAAGTTACAATTTCAATGGAATTTAACATAAGATGGCTGGTTGATAAATGAGCACATTGGCACACTAAATAAAGCCAAGTAAATATAAACTAATAGGCGATACTTACACTCTATATCACTTTTGGCAACTGAAATACAATCCACGATATAAATAAAAGATTGTTGCATAATCTGGGAAATTTTAAGAGAAATTGTTTTACCCCGATAACTCCGGTGCATCTCAAGATTTCCTCCTCGCTAAATTCTTTCAGCTTCAAGAAATTGCGGATGGTATCGACGACGCACAGTCGATCTTGTTCATATCCGTCGGTGCCTTTTCGAAGTTTACAATGCGATTCGAGTTTCTCAATTTTTCTCCAAACGTCTGGCGCAAACTGCTTCTGGTATAAACACCTCAAAGCGCCTACGCAGCGGTACAATGGATGAATCGTGTCGAAAGTGGTTATGGAAACCTGCGAACACTTCTCTTAAGAACACGTCCCGATGATGCAAACCGGAGGAACCTTTTGTCCAATTTTGCTGGTGTAGTAACACTCAGGAACGTGATTGGGGTTACTTTCGCACTGTTCGCCGCACAATGGCCATCCGCATTTCGGACATGGATGAACGTCTTCAGCCGTTACATGGTTGCCGCAACCCATACACACCGGTAAAGTTAGCTGCATGGGTGACACACTCAATGGTCTCTCCTCAAAGATGACCGACCCTTCCTCAATTTCCTTGGTCGCTTTAATAAATCGCCCAACATTGTCATCGTTGGCCATCTATAAAAGCATCTAACATCACCTGCATTTGCGTAAATTATACCTCAAACGGCCGACAGAACTTCTTGTGCTTCTTCCAGTGCGATCTTTGATGCTCCTTGCCGCAATAAAAAATACTGTGACATCCTCCGCACTTTTGATTGGCCGGCTTTTGGCACACTTCACAACCGTTAAGATCATCCATTCTTAAGCGCATTCAATTTCAATCACGAATGGCAGTGTTAAAGTTTATTAATACCAAACCGCTGAAGGTTTCCAAAAATAATGCGGCGCCCACGTATGAAATGGTAGAGTGGGATACGACTATTATTATTAAAATATGTATTTATATGAAAATTCGTTGTGTATTCACTTCCTCGATGAGGAAATCGGACAGATTTCCCAGCTGCCTATACGAAAATTTGGCAGCGCGTGAGCTTGTTATGAGATCAACAGAGCATTGGGAATACGCAACCCGAGTCCGGCCATACGTGAAACTTTCTCGATTAAGGGGTAATTTTTACGAAAGAAAAATGCTTCCAATAAAACGCACCGACCGCAAAAATGCAACATGTCCGATCATGTGCGTAAAACTACAACTTTCTTGTTTACGGAAAAATGCTCCCCATAACACAAAATCGACTGCCTATGCGAAAAGACAATAACATTCTTCTAATAAAAGAAGATAGGACGCACGACATATCTACAATCGAGCTCATATTCGGAATAAAGGGCAATTTCTCTGAAATTTTGAAAGAAAATTGCTCCCAATGAAATAAAATCAACCTGGGGTGAGAATGTGCAACAAAAGATTTTAAAAAAAAGCAGAACTATAAAAATAATTTAAGGAGCAATTTTAAAAGAACATACTCCATAAGAGAGATAGGAAAAAAGTGTGAAGTGCAGGCATGAAGACATGGAAAGTGTGAAAGGGATGAAACACAGTCCTTCAATGAATAACGATGGTAATTAAGGAGACATGAAAGAGGCACGAAAGACACGTGACGAAAAGTTATGTGAAGAAGGTGTACGTAAGTAATAAAAGAAAATGAAAAGGAAAGCAATAAGCAAGTGCTAATAAAAGAAACTTGGTATTGTGATAAACAAAATCGAAATCGAAAGAGACATGGAATGAAATGCGTGGGGTGTAATCTTGGAACTGTTTGAAATTATGGATTCTACAGGCCACATTCTATAAGAAAAATTTTTTTCCGGGTCGATCTGAGACAATTTTTTTTTCGGGGCTCAAAAAAAGGAAGCGTATAACCTTCCTTTTTTACCAAAAATCGACTGCAACAAAATTTCTCGGGAAAACACTTTTTCTTATTAATTTTGGGGCGTAGAATCCAAAACAATTCGTACTTTTTCGATTAGACTTCTCAATCAAAAGTTATAGACTAGAAACCAATTTCGAAAGAAAATTCAAAGGGCTGTAACTTTTGAACTAGTAGCCCAATCTTGGAACTGTTTGAAATTATGGATTCTACAGGCCACATTCTATAAGAAAATTTTTTTCCGGGTCGATCTGAGACAATTTTTTTTTCGGGCTCAAAAAAAGGCAGTGTATAACCTTCCTTTTTTACCAAAAATCGACTGCACCAAAATTTCTCGGGAAAACACTTTTTCTTATTAATTTTGGTGCGCAGAATCCAAAACAATTCGTACTTTTTCGATCAGACTTCTCAATCAAAAGTTATAGACTAGAAACCAATTTCGAAAGAAAATTCAAAGGGCTGTAACTTTTGAACTAGTACCCCAATCTTGGAACTGTTTGAAATTATGGATTCTACAGGCCACATTCTATAAGAAAATTTTTTTTCCGGGTCGATCTGAGACAATTTTTTTTTCGGGCCTCAAAAAAAGGCAGTGTATAACCTTCCTTTTTTACCAAAATCGACTGCACCAAAATTTCTCGGGAAAACACTTTTTCTTATTAATTTTGGTGCGTAGAATCCAAAACAATTCGTACTTTTTCGATCGGACTTCTCAATCAAAAAGTTATGCAGTTGAAAAATGTGCAATTTCATGTAGGATTTGTAGAGCAATTGTACTTTAATGATCCAGTATCTGGAATTGTCTTTTGTGTATGCAATTGGTACATTTGCGCCATCTCTTTGGTAATCCCTATACTTTTCCAAATTAATTTCTTGTAATAGTTGAACGAGTTCCCATGAGATGTAGCCACGTACGTAACTACATTTAAAAGAACATTTTAATTTATGCACTAAATAGCCACGTACGACTCAATTTTCCTTAAAGGGCAGTTGAAAATGTGCAATTTCATGTAGGATTTGTAGAGCAATTATACTTCGATGATCCAGAATCTGGAATTATTGTCTTTTGTGTTTGCAATTGGTACATTTCCGCCATCTCTTTGGTAATCCCTATACTTTTCCAAATTAAATTCTTGTAATAGTTGAACGAGTTCCCATGAGATGTAGCCACGTACGTAACTACATTTAAAAGAACATTTTAATTTATGCACTTAATAGCCACGTACGACTCAATTTTCCTTAAAGGGCAGTTGAAAATGTGCAATTTCATGTAGGATTTGTAGAGCAATTGTACTTCAATGATCCAGTATCTGGAATTGTCTTTTGTGTATGCAATTGGTACATTTGCGCCATCTCTTTGGTAATCCCTATACTTTTCCTTATTATTTTCTTGTAATAGTTGAACCAGTTCCAATGAGATGTCGCCACGTACGAAACTACATTCAAAATAACATTTTAATTTATGCACTTAATAGCCACGTCCGACTAACTACATTAACAAGAACATTTTAATTTGGCCACGTCCGACTCAATTTTCCTTAAAGGGCAGTTGAAAATGTGCAATTTCATGTAGGATTTGTAGAGCAATTGTACTTCAATGATCCAGTATCTGGAATTTTCTTTTGTGTATGCAATTGGTACATTTGCGCCATCTCTTTGGTAATCCCTATACTTTTCCAGTATTAATTTCTTGTAATAGTTGAACGAGTTCCCATGAGATGTAGCCACGTACGTAACTACATTTAAAAGAACATTTTAATTTATGCACTTAATAGCCACGTACGACTGAATTTTCCCTAAAGGGCAGTTGAAAATGTGCAATTTTATGTAGGATTTGTAGAGCAATTGTACTTCAATGATCCAGTATCTGGAATTGTCTTTTTTGAACGAGTTCCCATGAGATGTAGCCACGTACGTAACTACATTTAAAAGAACATTTTAATTTATGCACTTAATAGCCACGTACGACTGAATTTTCCCTAAAGGGCAGTTGAAAATGTGCAATTTTATGTAGGATTCGTAGAGCAATTGTACTTCAATGATCCAGTATCTGGAATTGTCTTTTGTGTATGCAATTGGTACATTTGCACCATCTCTTTGGTAATCCCTATACTTTTCCAAATTAATTTCTTGTAATAGTTGAACGAGTTCCCATGAGATGTAGCCACGTACGTAACTACAAAGAACATTTTAATTTATGCACTTAATAGCCACGTACGACTCAATTTTCCTTAAAGGGCAGTTGAAAATGTGCAATTTCATGTAGGATTTGTGGAGCAATTGTACTTCAATGATCCAGTATCTGGAATTGTCTTTTGTGTATGCAATTGGTACATTTGCGCCATCTCTTTGGTAATCCCTATACTTTTCCAAATTAATTTCTTGTAATAGTTGAACAGTTCCCATGAGATGTAGCCACGTACGTAACTACATTCAAAAGAACATTTTAATTTATGCACTTAATAGCCACGTACGACTCAATTTTCCTTAAAGGGCAGTTGAAAATGTGCAATTTCATGTAGGATTTGTAGAGCAATTATACTTCGATGATCCAGAATCTGGAATTGTCTTTTGTGTATGCAATTGGTACATTTTGCGCCATCTCTTTGGTAATCCCTATACTTTTCCAAATTAATTTCTTGTAATAGTTGAACGAGTTCCAATGAGATGTAGCCACGTACGTAAATACATTCAAAAGAATCGTTTAATTTATGCACTTAATAGCCACGTACGACTCAATTTTGCTTAAGACTAGAAACCAATTTCGAAAGAAAATTCAAAGGGCTGTAACTTTTGATGTGGTAAAATGTTATTACTTCTTTTGCTTCTGATGGATTTCTTTTAGATTCACTCCGATCTTCCGATCTGGAGGCCATCGAGGTTGCGATGCTGCCTGAGACTTGCCTCTTCTAGTCTTCAGAAAATGTTACTACGTTTTCATCTGCCATTCTGCTTTAATCATGGCGCTTGTCGAGGCTACTTTGGAATGGAATATACAGAGTAAGTCAAGTGTTTTCACTTCTATTGCTTCTGATGGATTTTTTTAAAGATCAATGCACTTCGATTGCCAATGGTAGATAGAGGCCATCTAATGATTACAATGCTGCCCAATATACGTATGTACCTTGCAGCTTTTAGAAAGGATTCACCGTGGAGCTTGTCAAGACCACTTTGGTTGGGATGTGACATATAGGGTGCGTTAGGGTTAACCTTCGATTGCCAAGGACAGGTGGAGGCCATCGAATGATTGCGATGCTGCCGGAGACGTGCCACCTTCAGGTCTTCTGCAATTCCTAATTTACATGGAGCGCCTCAATACCACTTGTAAATGGAATATACAGGGTACGTCAAATGTTTTCGTTTCTATTGCTTCTGATGGATTACTTTTAGAGTCAATTCCACCTCGATTGTCAACGAACTTCTGAAGACGGAGGCCATCCAGGATTGCGACGTGCCACTTTCACGTTAGGGAAGGTGGCCAACTTTTCCATATGGGATTCCACAACGAAGTGCCCGTAAGCCTTGCGTTACGCCGGAGAAAAACAGTTTTGAAGGTGAGTAAATTTATTCACTACTAAATCTTGCATCACAATTTATAATGTAGCATATAACAACATATTTGTATTGTTTTAGAAGTCGCCTCGTCTCTATGAAGTTGCAGCCACAGGAGCTGTGAAGCAAACCACGTCCATTTGGAGAACCTGGAAAATACAAGTCCTTTTGAAAGCCTTCTTGAAAAATTCAAAAATCAAAAAACTTTTTTGAAAACTCTTGAAAAATTCAAAAAACTTTTTTGAAAACTTTCTTGAAAAATTCAAAAATCAAAAAACTTTTTTGAAAACTTTCTTGAAAAATTCAAAAATCAAAAAACTTTTTTGAAAACTTTCTTGAAAAATTCAAAAATCAAAAAACTTTTTTGAAAACTTTCTTTAAAAATTCAAAAATCAAAAAACTTTTTTGAAAACTTTCTTGAAAAATTCAAAAATCAAAAAACTTTTTGAAAACTTTCTTGAAAAATTCAAAAATTAAAAAACTGTTTTGAAAACTTTCTTAAAAAATTCAAAAATCAAAAAACTTTTTTGAAAACTTTCTTGAAAAATTCAAAAATCAAAAAACTTTTTTGAAAACTTTCTTGGAAAATTCAAAAATCAAAAAACTTTTTTGAAAACTCTTGGAAAATTCAAAAATCAAAAAACTTTTTTGAAAACTTTCTTTAAAAATTCAAAAATCAAAAAACTTTTGAAAACTTTCTTGAAAAATTCAAAAATCAAAAAACTTTTTTAAAACTTTAAAACCTAAACCTTTTGAATTTCAAAAACAATTCAAAAAAGTTTTCAAAAACTTGAAAAATTCAAAAAACTTTTGAAAATTAAACAAAACTTTAAGTTTGAATTCAAAAATCAAAAAACAATAAATCTTACATTATTCCAGGTGTGACTATATAAAATTCAAAAAACAAAATCAATTTTATGTACTGCATCACGTAAAATAAGTTTCTTGTTCTGTGACAGTAACTTGGAAATAAATAACATACGTCATCACTTTTGTTTAGTTTCCTTTGATCCCAGGTTAGAATTAATTAATTCTGTCATGGATACTGTGCAATTAGCAAGTACCTACCTCTGTATAATGTATTCCGGATTTTCGGCTGGCTTTGCTGACTCGAGATCGTATAAGTACATATCTGCCAAAATAAGATTACCATTCAGTAAAAGTGCAAGCATACCTCTGTGCTTTGGGTTGATAAATAAGCAACCTAATAAGACGAGCTTTCTCCAAATAAGGCGTGTTCACAAGATCTTCGGTATCGGTTTTGGAATAGTGTCGTCAATCGTCATGACTGGCAATTCAGGTAGATACAGCTCGAGACCATCTAAAAATTAAAATTGTATTAAAAAAGATCAGTTTATTTTGAATGGTAAGTGGTATCACAGACGAGACTAGTAGGGAAGCGACTGTGTTTGGGAATTTTGATCAAAGGAATGTTTTATTGAAATTTGAAAGGAATCAAAAATTTTATTAATTGAAATAAGGAATGGTATATGTTTCACTAGGAAGGGTAAAACCATTGCATTGAAAAGAGTCATGTAGGATGACGTAGAAGAAAAAGAATTAAAAAAAAGACAAGTTAATTGGAAAGTTTAAAGAAAATTGGGATGAGTTATTTCGAAGGGGTTTCTGAAAGTAAAAATTAGAAAAAGACAACAATTTACAGAGTGAAAGGATTCCGTTTATCACGAGTTCCTACAAATTGACTGTGCTTGGGTCATCATTTGAAAATTGGTTGAGCACACACTCCATTCGACTTTATGAAAATTTTCTACTAAAAGTATAACTCTCAGTTGAATAAATTAAATTTTGTTTCAAAATATTGTGGCTTTTTATTTCCTGGGTCTGAACCACCTCGTAACAAAATCCATAGAAGATAATGAGTTTCAATTTGACACTTTAAATGATGTGGATTAGATGTAGCCATCGGTAGGTATGGAGTAGGTAAACCTGTGATTTTCCACCCTGCGATGTGTTCAATTGGTTTAACAAATTTCAATCCTACCTATCATGAAATAATTGAAATGAATGGGTAGAGTAAAACTTCAGGAAAATGGGTAAAGAAAACCAGGAAAGCTACGTGTGAAATGAAACAAGATCAAAGAGCCCTAAGTCGTAGTTTTCCCTAATTTTTAGATTTCGGTTATTTAAACTATTCAAAAAGAGCACCACACAATAGTGGCGACATCTCACAGAAAGTTGTTCAACTATCGTATGAAAATTTTATGGGAAAGTATAGGGATTACCAACAGATGGCGCATATGTACCAATTGCATACACAAAAGACAATTCCAGATACTGGATCATTGAAGTACAATTGCTCTACAAATCCTACATGAAATTGCACATTTTCAACTGCCCTTTAAGGAAAATTGAGTCGTACGTGGCTATTTAGTGCATAAATTAAACGATTCTTTTGAATGTATTTACGTACGTGGCTACATCTCATTGGAACTCGTTCAACTATTACAAGAATTTAATTTGGAAAAGTATAGGGATTACAATTAAGTGCATAAATTAAACGGTTCTTTTGAATGTATTTACGTACGTGGCTACATCTCATTGGAACTCGTTCAACTATTACAAGAATTTAATTTGGAAAAGTATAGGGATTACAAAAGAGATGGCGGAAATGTACCAATTGCATACACAAAAGACAATAATTCCAGATTCTGGATCATCGAAGTATAATTGATCTTCAAATCCTACATGAAACTGCACATTTTCAACTGAACTTTAAGGAAAATTGAGTCGTCGTGCCTATTAAGTGCATAAATTAAACGGTTCTTTTGAATGTATTTACGTACGTGGCTACATCTCATTGGAACTCGTTCAACTATTAGTTGAATCTAATTTGGAAAAGTATAGAGATTGCCAAAGAGATGGCGCAAAAGTACCAATTGCATACACAAAAGACAAT